TTCCTACATGATCTAAATGGACGTAGATGGAGGAAGTAGAAGCGAAAAACATTAAACGCCAAAAAATAGTAGTAGCAAAAACAGGAATGAAGTAAAAAAATTAGAAACCACGTGACTTTTATTGCTCCCAAGCGCGCTAATCCCGAGCAGCCATAAATTCATTGCTCGGGAATTGCTTCTTAACCTCAGGCCTTGGCGAAGGATTGAACGACCTGTCGGGAGTCTTAAGGTACGAACGTGATTCCCCCGCTGAATTTTAGCTCCAAGATATGGGAGTCTGGACGCGATACGTCTCTCACGAACCGCTCGTCGATAGAAGGGCGTGCTGGATTTACGACGGAATTTGGATAATATAGTTCAGTATCTAAGAAAAGCTGATGGAAAAGAAAGAAAGACTATCGCTAGTCAGGTATTAACGAACGACGTCAAGAATCTACACCTTGGAAAATGGTCCATTCGTCTACACTGCAAATCCAAAGTCTCGTCACACATGTTTGAAACTCACACAGATAATGTATAACGCCATAAATGGACTATAGTAATTTTGTAGACACTTTTTATATAGATAATAGTGTGTGAAAAATTCACACATGTAGTATGGTTTGTTAATGGCGTTATCCATGTAACACACATAAAATGAATGAATTTCACACCTGTGTAAATTATCTCGGATTTGCAGTGTAGCCTCCTGAATAAACCAGAAAATTATATCCTTTAAAGAAATTTTTTGGTTTCAAGCTTGTTGTTGTTCTTCAAGTTATTTTATACTTTTGTAGTTTTAATTTACCTAAATAAATTCATTGTTTGATCATTAACTTAACCCTCAACTCTCATGGGTGTTTTTTGCATTCATTAACCTCGTTTATGGGTCACCAACTTTAAAAGTTTTAAGCTTCGGTAAAAAAGCAAAAGTTTTCACTAATGTTCAGATAAACTGAACTGCATTGAATAAATAATTATTGAAATGAATAACTTCATTTTTTATCATTTTTCTGTTAGTTACTACAAAGATTCTTTCATTATTCATTTTTGTAGAAAAAATTATTCGATTTATAAACTAAAGTTTAATTTATTTCATAATTTTTGTTCTTTACTTTAATAAAATACTACGAAATAATTATTTATCTGCATAGCCACATTTCTTTAATTAAAAAAGATGAAGAAAATTCGAAATAATTTTTATCTCCAATTTCAAATGAAAACTTTGAAAATATTAAACAAAAAAATTCTTCAGAAGACTTCCAGAACAATGGCATATGATGACTCGCTTCGCAGACACCCATTGTCGTAATGATGAATTTCCGGTTAAAGAAAGCTATAAAACCCAAGGCAAAATCAATCTACAATACTTCTACTTTGTTCTGAATGTTCATAAGGACGTTCAATCACAAAATATTAAGAGCAAAAAAAATGTTACAATCATACTTAAATACAAGTCTTACTTTGAAATATTTTTATTTTCGTCTGCCGTTCATTTTTAAGCATGGAAAATAAAAGAAAGAAAGTAGTAGTCCCTGACAATGAGCTCGCGGAAGTGATTAAGCGACGCGACGGGAGAACATCCATCGGGACCCACAGGGATATAGATGCGAGCACCCTCAAGAGAGAAACAAGGAGTAGTTGAAACTTGAAAGGATGATGACGAAAGCGGACAGAGACTGACTGAAGTGCAGGGAAGTTGAACGTTCTACTGACAGCCGACAGGATAACGACTCTCTCAACTCACCCTGATTTCTAATTAGAATATTATTCAAAATAGAATTATTGTTATTCTCAACGTCAACAAAAGACTAATTTTTACAACATTTATTCCACATTTACATTGAATTTCATTATACATCATTTTTAATTCTATTAATAACCAATATTTTATTTTTTAAATTAAATTTTTCATTCAAGTAATTACTCTAAATCATTTATTTATCTTTTAAATAAATCATTGTTGATATTTCATTTTTTAATGATCATATTTTTAAATAGATATAATAATTAAAATAACGCCACTGTAATTATTTTCATTATAAAAAAAAAATAATAATATCTATTTTTTTCCTGTTGCATGTAAGCATTAATAAAATAAACTTATCTGCAGTTAATATACATTTTCATAGTGAAGCTGAAGATCTTACGATTAGCAGTATAGTGTTTGCTGAATAAACGTACGTGCACAATGTCTTATTCGTGAGGATAAACCACACAAAGACTAAACCCGCATCTCTCACTGTTTGTTATCAACATATAGATATACGACAATCAAACGACAATTGAAGATGTAAATAAATCAAAAGCAGGAATTTAATTAATACATTTTATCCTTAAACTTTTTCATCAATTAAGCTTTTGATAATCAGTCAATTTTAATCCACTTAATTTTAAAAATTGCATTTTAATTTGTAGTCAGCAATACTCCTTTTGTATTTAAATAGATAACGATAAAATACTTGCAAATGAATTTTGTTAATTCAGAACAAAGTCAAATTCATTTCTTTCTGCATTTCATATTTTATGCTTTTTACCCATATTCTGGACTATTTGTATCGAATCCTTTTATGCATTTTTATTCTTTTTCTCACTACTTTTATTATTTCACTTTTGTGTTCAGCTCCGGTTGAAATTAAAATATTAAAATAATTTTTCTTTAAACGGTGAATGTAATTAACTTGCATAAAAAATAGCGTATTTAAAAAAAAATTAAACTTAAATATAATTGTTATAACTTTTTCATTTTTAAATATAACTTTAATAAAGTTTGTTGATTCACATCGCTTTGATGATATGATGCTTAGTTTACAAACCACCTTTGCTATGCTTCACGATTCAAAGCCATCAACCCATATGTAACTTCACCTATCAACTTGAGAGCAAATAACACAATATAATAGAGTAAGTAATATTGCCTGGGAATTAATAACTACGATACATACGGCAATATAGGATTTTAGTATTTCATGACAGACTAAAACGTTTGTTTGCAAAATCTGTGATAGATTCAAAGATGAGTAAATAATTTTCCTCTTCAGGATGAATTTTTTTTCGTTTATCTATTTTTTCTACTGACAGTGATCCTCCGATGCTTGATAAATAAAAATATTTCCTCAATACTATTTTATTCCTATTGATAAATGATAAAAAAATGGTTGCTAATATGGGCTATGAATATTTCATGACAATATCATAGATGTAAAATAGATATAATTTAGTCAACTTCTACGTTTAGGGCGGATCAATATAGTCAATAGCACTAGAGGACTTGCTTTGCGCGAATAAACGTGATGGCAAAGCCTAGGTGAGCAACTGAATAAAAGAAAAAGAGAGAACACGAGGTCGATTTAATTTTACGAACTTTCCACTCGGCTCGAAGTGCTTGCACGTTCGACTTGCAGCCACTTCACCAGCCGTGCCAAGTACGCCGCTGAGAATTCGTCGCTCGTTCTATCTCGCGAATAGTTTTCAACTTTCAATGGTCTGCCGCCTCCTTTTTCGTTATATATACAGGACTCTCTCTCACTTACCGAATAAATTTCAGGCCAAGTAATGTAAAGACTTGATGACGGCCACTTTGGGCCAACTTCGATTCAAGAATAAATAAAATCTGACATCAAAAAATGATGATTTACGCCAATAACGTTTTTTGTCCGTTTTTTAGCACATTTCACAAATATTCTCTATGTCTATCCCTTCCTTCAAGAATCTAAAAATATTTGGATGACGAAAAAATTATTTTTACAACAATGCTAATTATTAAGTACTAATTATTTTGTAATTTACGTTATAGATAGTATTGTTTTATAATTTATTTTGTCTTTGTCGCCCATGTAATTAATTTATCTTCTACAAATATAATATCCATAATAAATGTAATTCAATTGTTTCAAGTAATCTGTGTTGTATTATTTAAATAGAACAAATGTTTAACAATTAAAAATTTATTAAATTGTGGAATGAAATGATTAAATTGGAATTAATTATGTTCAATATTTATGGGAAGTTATTTTTAATCATTTGTGAAATTAAATATTTGAACATGAAAGAAAAATTTTAATAAGTTACTGAATAATTAATTACTATGTTGAAATGTTATATATTTAACGAGTATATTTATCTTTGTAATTGATACTACGATATTTTAATTAAAACGTATTCACCAGAAGAATATGTTGATTGTATGTATTAAAATGAAATAATGATAATTATAAAAATATTATATGTAACGAAATTCATCAGAATCATCTCATTCAATCATGTCATTCACCGATAAGCACAATTACACATCTGCCATTTATATTGTATTTTACCAGAATACTATTTCCAAAACCTTACTTCCCATTATTATCACAGAATGTGATGAGTGACATAAAACCAGAAAACTTTTTTACATCTCCACTACATACATGGGACATTTTATCCAAGGTGACGGTTTATAACCGAATTCTGACGACAGCTTGTGCTTTTGATTACTATACAAACTTTTTCATATTTTTCTTACACATCCTTCACACCTATTTTACTAAAATAAGACTTGAAAAACAGTCAAAACCCCTAACCTCATTCCAAAAACTCAACTTCAATAGTACTGTTTCTAAAATGTACACCAACTTTCAACAAAATATGTTTCTGAAGAACAGAATTTGCGTACAGCAAATAATCGGTTTTTTAAAAATTTTTATTTTTTGTTAAAATTATAATGTTTATAGCTGGATATTAACTTCTACATTTCGAAACGTTTTTTAATTTTTTTCATAATCATAATAAAATGAAGTTTCTAAAGTAGTTCTTATTTAATAAATAAATACCTTTTTTTTTTATCAAATTCATTTTGACAATCGAATGACTGACTATTGATTTAGTTAATAGATGAACTTCGAATACGAAACATAATCCACCCAAAAGTAAAAAGTTGAAAGTAATCAATAAAAAACATCAAATTAAAAAACAAAAACGAGTTCCTAAAATAACAAAATAGCAGATCAATAAAAAGAAAAAGAAGTTTAATTACTCACCAAGAAAAACACTCTCGTCATTGTCGAGGTCAAGGTCAAGATCAGCAGACTGGTTGTTGGTATTTAAGTGTTGATTAAGTCTCACAAGATCCATGTCTGCGAGGTTCTGACACTGAAGCTGTTGTTGGTCCAAAGAGCCGGTGGCCAATAATTCGGCCACTAGCGTTAAATAAGGTGATGTAAGAAGTCGTGGACTCGTTGCTCGCACGCAGCCTGGTATCCAAAGCCCAAGAAGACCGTAGGGTACCGCAGGAACCGCTCCTGCACTCACGAAGCCACCGTTCAAGAGTTCTCCGCACAACATAGGTAGAGAAGAGACTTCCAACTATCCTTCGTTACCGAAACACCACTGAGTCGGTCACCTACAATTCATTCCGAACAATTGAACAGGTTATTTAACACCTCGATCAACTAAACAATATACATTTGTTTGAATTTTTTATTTTTGAAAGATAAACTTAATTTAAATTGAGAAAAAATGTTCAATTGAATTCACTTGACATTTCGGTAGTGTAAGACAACAATAGCATTGGGTTACGACGTTAAACAACAATTTATGATACAAACAACACAGTGGAATGAAAGGAATTTCTATTGAAGCTGGCCAATAGCCGGTTAGACTTGCATGACGCCATCGACACAGCACAACTGGCGTGGGTGCGGGTTTTCTGATGATGTCAGACACAACAGGGCCGTAACTACTTCAACACTACATTTCTTATGCCACTCGGTTACCTCTTTACTATGCACTTGCGCGCTTTATAAATTTGCTCCATTAGGTATTAATTAAGCTGTACTGTAAGAAAACTAATCAACGTAAAGGAAATTTTCTTCTTTTGAAAGTTTGTTATAAAAATTGGTTACAGACTTTTGGTTCAAGGATAATTTTTTTTTAAATATAGGTTTTTTTATTTATGGATATATAGCGTATGACCTAATTTATTTTTAATTAATTTTTAACATCTGTGAGCTTTTGTTTTATTTTTCAACCACAATTTTACGTTTTTTGTCGGCAAGTCGAAATGAATTATTATAAAGGAAAGTCATTTCAGAGATTTTAATAAATTTTTTTCCTCTCTAAAATGGTTTATACATAATTAAAAGTCATTATTGGATAATTAAAAATTCATTAACGAATTAATGAAGGACTCGACATGTTGTTTGAGCACTGTAAAAGTAAATGAAAAAAACCAATTCGTTCATAAAATTAAACATTAAAAAATGTGAGAAAAGTGTCGCATTTTTATCATCATTCAAGGTTCTAAAAAAAAATTGGTTTTTAAAAATTTTTTTTCGAAACTCAAGCATTATTGAAAGAAAATTCATTTAAAGTTTGATTAAAATTGAAAGAGCTTTTCACAACTTTAACACGAACTGTAATTTTTTTAAAAGAATTTTTTCATAATTTACGTGAAAAAAGAACTCGTTAAAAAACTGATCACATTTTTTTACTGATAAAATAAACATACTACTTTTTTAATAAAAATGTAAAAAATTGTAAGATTAAAAATCAACAAATATTGAAATAATACAAAAATCATTTTTCATAAGCATAAAATAAACTGATGGCATTTATCGTAGTCATTGAAAATATTAATCATATTTTTTGTTTTATAAAATGGCAAGGCATTAAATATATGGTCCATTGGGTGTTGGTTATTGGTGCAGCAACACTGCAAAAACATTCCCAAGGTTTCAATAATCTTCTGAAAACTTTTCTCCTAAGAAATAAGAGGATATTACAAGCATTACTGCTGTATAATCTATATTCCTAACAGAATTCAAATTGCTTGACATCATTTTTTGCATAGAAATAAGACTACTCAACTTCTCAGCATATAAGGTCACGTATAGTTAAACCTACGCATTTTAGTTGCATACCAAATTGATGATAAATATGATGGCGTCAATTTCTCATACTAATAAACAATTTTATCTCTAACATGAACATCAAAATAATATTTAACAATATAAAATGAATATAATGTTTAATGTTTATGTAATATTTAATAATTCAAAATAATATTTAACAATTATATTTGCTTTTTCTCCTTAAGAAAATTCAGGTATCAAAATTATTTTGACTACAATATAATTAATATTTGAATTAGTTTTAAAATAAATAAGATTGAGTTTGAAAGTTAAAACTAAAATGATATCGAATAATTAATAATAAGATGAACAGTTTTGCTAATGAATCAGTAAAACACTTTACTTCATTTATGATTATTGATCCACTGACAATCTACACTGTAAATCCAAGTGCATTCTTGTTACACATCTAAATGTGTTAAATATGACGTCACCCATTTGATTAACATTGTAATCACTTTTATTGCGTTTTTAAATGTGTAAAAAGTGACTACAATGTTAATCAAATGGGTGACGTCATATTTAACACATTTAGATGTGTAACAAGAATGCACTTGGATTTACAGTGTAACTGTCTGATTTTAATTTTCGCTATACCAGAGTTAATTAATGGAATAATGAAATATTAATAATTTTCACTAAATTATTTAAACTTATTTTATTGAAATAAAATCAAAATGAGCTTTTAATAGAGCTAAAAATAACTGTAATTAAAGAGCTAATTGATTTTTGTATACTCTATTATAGAAGACAAAAGATATAATGTCATCAATAACAGGTAATCGATAAATTTAACTTGTACCTATGAATATTGAAACAAAAAGTAATTTCTTATTTAGGTAATAAACTCAAAAATATTCATTTACTCCTAATTGTAATTAACAATTATTATTATTAATAAAAATAAGTAATATTCATTATTATTATGAAATGTATTATTTATTACTTTCATCGAATGCTTACTATTTTTTATGATTATATTTAATAAAGTAATTTTAGAGCTACAAAAAATATTAGTTTCATCTATAATTATCTGAAATGTAATTAATTTTGATTAATTAATCAAACTTAATTAATATATTTAAAACAATAATAAGTTTTAAATAATAAACAAAAATTAACTTTTTAAAATGAAAACGTATAAGATACATTTTTTTAATTGTTGAAAATACATCAAATAATTATTAATTAATTTATGAGTAGCTATAGCCATTTAGATAGAAAAAAATCTCCTCTTTTCTATTAATATGCTCGATAGATGTTATTAAGCGTTAAAATATTTGCAAGAATTTTATTGTTTGTCAATCACGTTCATTTTATTGAGAGAAGAAATCTAAACATGTCAAATAAACAGAGACGCAAGAGCCGCGTGCTACTCTGGTTGGTGAGAAATACACGTGTGTCCCTTCTATGGCAGATCAACTCTACTGAAATTGGAAGACCTCGAGCGAGACGGAGCTCGGATAATTTTCCGGTTCGTATCCTGTTGCAGCTGCATTCAACCATACTCTCTTGTCATTAGAATATCACTCATTTTTTAATCGATCATTAACTAAAAAATATTGCTTCTGTTGCTGGAATATCTTCATGAAAAAAATGTTGACATATTGATGAATTTCAAATCCCTTTGTATTCACCTAAGCAATATATGACTTTTCGATGATTTAAATATGAAAAAAAAATTGTAAGCTTCATAAGAATATTTTTTTATCTATCAATAGTTTTGATGGACATAATTTTTAAACACAATTTATTCATTGTTTTTAATAACTATAGTTAACAAATAAATAACTTCCTATTAATTCTTTCTCACTAATTTAAATAAAATCCAAATTTTATATCCTTTAGCCTTTTAAATCTTTTTATGAATATATTCAACAATATTCCGTTATCATTTGAATGTCAATCACATTCAAGTCGATTGATAGCTATAAAAGAATTTTTTTATGGAAAAAGTTGAAGCTAAAATCAATTAATTTTTAATTTTCCTACATACCTGCAGATGATTAAATAAAACAGATTGCAAAGACATTCACAGGTATTTGCCAACAGTAATAAATTATTTAATTAATTTTTTGAATGAAATAAATGAAAGTGTATGATGATTTCCAAAAAATTTAACACATCTAATATTTTCTACTTTAGAACAAAAGGTTAATAAATTCTAGTAGCACGTGTTGGAAATCCTGTTGGATGTTATTCACTCATTTTTGCACATCTCTTTCGAAATATCATAACACGAGGTGCGACATAAATCGGGCAGTCGCTAGTGCTGCGATACCGGTACTGGCTTGATATCAGGACGGTTCGAGGGGTCGAAGGAGGCCAGTCAGGGCCGGCAGACAGACGGGCGCCAACGGGTGCGTAATCCTTTCTTCACCCTCTTCCCTCGGTTTCGTCCCCATTTTATCTTTATCAGCTCAACAAAGTAGAACGAAAGTCCAAAACTCTCTTTCCCCCAGGTGTCTACGACAGTCGTGAGGCAACTGCACACGCGAGCAAATATCTCACGCCCTCTCCATTTGTATTCTTCCCTTTTATAACTTGATTTTTATTTTATTTCTCGAGTCGTATTCACTACGGAAACTGCGTGATCACATGGCTGTGACTTTATAAGCTTGGATTAAACTTTGTACACGAATTTATGTACATGTTGAAGAGAAAGTGTAATAGGGACATTAGACTTTAGTTTTCATTTTTAAGGGCAAAGAGCATTATTTATAAAAAAAGTTTTCAATCATGTTGCAAAAATTTAATTTTAACAAATTTGAGAAAAATTGTTTTTTTTTTGCTATAAATGAATTTAAAAAACAACCCTATGTAAATAATTGATATTTATGTTATTAAAAAATATACAGTTTCATATTAAAATTAATAATTACTGTATTTTACATAAGGATTAAAATTCATAATTACAAATTGGACTGATCGAATTTCATACCGGAATTTCCTTCTTTTTTCAACTTTTATAATATTTTAGAAATTTACATTGTTTGTAACTTTCTGAATAATTTACTAAAGCACTTTGAGGGTTGGAAATTTTAAAAATTCTTCTTGATGGTTCTATGTACTTGTTCTTAAAAAAACTTTTGAATTATTCAAAAAGTTGCAACCACGAAAATAGCTAGAGAATTTGTTCATAAATGAAAAAAAAGTTTCGCTAATAAAGGTGAAAATATTCAAATATCCAATCTTATAAAAAATAAATTACTTGAATTCCCTATATATTCATGTATATATAGATATCCTTAATTCGTTATACTTCAAAGTTCTCTTCTTACAAAATATAGACCATTAAGTTCACTTATTCTTTATCTCTATTCGTTATTTTCTCCCTCTCCTAAAAGAATATATATATAGCTTTGAAAGCTTGTGAAACGAGTCAAGTTATAAGTTTGCTCGGGGAAGGTTCGACTACATATAAATTCTCTTCTGAGGTTGAATCTTTACCTTTTCCTCCATACACACTTTTCTTCTTTCTCGTTTTCTT